GGAGGAGGAGGGAAAAAAAAAAAAAAAAAAGAAAAACAAAACAGAAAATTAAAGAGGTTAAAGAGGAGGTGAGAAATGTGGAGGCCTGTGGAGGCGGCCGGGTATTGACCTGGAGGTGAAACGTCGTATATGGCATCGACTATTTGATTGACTGAGCCGCGGCGGAGAATACGGTATTTTGTCACATTTTTACGGGCGTTTGGGCTAAATCAGGGTTTATTAAAGGGAAAGTGTCCAATAGAAATCAACAAATGGCGGAGCACAAGAGTAATTCAAAGGTTTACGACTCCCAGCTGAGTCAGAGAGCAGAGTGTGAAGGTGGAATTACTGCAACGCACCGCGGGAGCAAACGGTCCGAGGCCGAACAACGGCCGTGATCTGACACGGAGGAGGAAACAGACGCCGCGTGTTTCAAAGACAAACACTTCCACTGCTACATGTAAGGGACTCACGGACTCAAGTGAGTCGTACTGTAGATTGATGACACGTTTCTCACAGTGAAACCAACGTCTCCACAGTCGTTACAGTGTGTTTGCATCTAAAGGTTCCTCCACTGGAACACCCACCATCTTTAATCACGTCTGCTGCAGGGAAATGACTGATGTCAGGGACGTCTGCACGTACTGGGAATAAACCCTAGGAGGGCTTTGAACTGCAGGACTGAGGAGACGGTGCTGCCACCGCTGGAACAGCATCAGTGGGAAGAACTGGATTTCATTTGACAGCTTCAGTCCAGCGTGTGTGTGTGCTTGTTGGTGTGGGAAAACGACGACAACAAAAACCTGCTTAAAACAGCGGTGGGGAAGTGACAACAGGTCTGAAAGGCTTGTCGTCACGCTGGAACGTTTAGTCTCCGCTGCAGAGTTAGCCACGTTAGCCACGGCAACTCTCTCCTCTACAACTGTTCCGTCTTTGTGTTTATCTGCCGGCTGCAGCTGTCGAGCAGATCGGTGACACAGCACCAGGCGCTGACGGCACAGTGTAAAACCCTGACGAAATTATATGATGAATAATAATAATAATAATAAAAACGAGGCTCAACAAGTCATTCAGCCAGGGAGACAATTACAAAGACGGAACACGTCGTAAACAGACGCAGAGAGAGGTGACCTCTGGAGGATCTCACCGATGTCTTCATCACCTTTGGCCCTCGCTCTTTACAAACAAGGACAGTATTGAAGTGTGTATTGGTGTGAAGGACACGGCGGAGACGTCGGTGTCTCCAGTAAATAAATCTTGATGCTAATTAACACGTGTCTGAGTTGCTATCAAGGCTCCAAATCCAGTGCAGTTCACACTTGATCACCATTAGCGGCTAAGTGCATTAATTGCTGTGGGTGACTGGCTCCGCCATCGTTAGCGCTGCAGTGCAGTCACGTTGGTCTGGAGCCAACGGTGGTGGTTCAGCCAGCTGTGGTCAGAGCCCAGGTGCTGGGAAAAACTATATATTTATCAACTGGACCAATGGTTCTAAATGCAGGAGACAGGCCCCACTGAGGGACGCAGAG